CCAGACTTTTTTTAACTCCTCTCCAGGGGACACAATAGATATCAGGGATGGTATTTTATAGGGATGTAACAGAAATGAAGAATTGTTTGACACTGAAAACCGTCCAAAATATGCTGCCTGATTTGGAGTGATTCTTCTATCCCATTGCATTTCCATGAGCTAGAGTTTCTCTTTATATCAAATAAATCAAGATTGTATATAAATGGTATAGTGCAGGGGTAGGGAACCTTGGCTCTTTTATGACTTGTGGACTTCAACTCCCAAAATTCCTGAGTCAGCATGGCTGGTTCAGGAATTCTGGGTATTGAAGTCCACAAGTCATAAAAGAGCCAAGGTTCCCTACCCCTAGTATAGTGGTTAAGGCAGTGGTGGCGAACCTATGGCACGCGTGCCAGAGGCGGCACTCAGAGCCCTCTCTGTGGGCACGCACACCATGCCCCGGAGATGGCAACCGTCCCTCTTCAACCAGTCTCCTGCTAACTCACCGAGGTCCCACGTGGCCAGATGCATCCCAGCATGACTGGTTTCCCTCCCCCCCGTCCCATCCCTCCTGGTCTCGCATGCTCTTCTTTTCCTGGGCACGACCCACTGCATCGCCTCCTTAGCTGTCGGCCGGCCAGCTCAGAGGCGGCTTCTCTGAACTGCTGGCAGCGGGCGGAGCCCCAGAGTGTGCCGGTTGAGGGGCCGGCAGGCTGTGGCTGCTGATGGACACTGTCGGCCCGCATGTGCTTGCTGGCCTCTGTGTGAGGGGGCCGATGGTGTCAGGCAGTAGCCGCCCTGGCCCTACCTCGCCTTGCCCTGCGACAATGGCACCCCTGCCTGCCTCGTCTTGCCTCGCCTCACCCCGCAGGACGAGCCTCCTGCCCACTGCCCCATCTGCCAGAGACACCCTGGATCTCCCCCAACCTTGTCCGGCCCCCACAGGCAACATCAAGGTGACCATGTCCGTCCTTGTCCGGCCCCCCATGAGCAACATCAAGGTGACCATGCCCACCTTCGCCACATTCACCGAGTTTGCCATGTCCACAGCCATGCCCACCCAGTGGGCCACGCCCACCTGGCACCCGGCGATAAACCGGTTTTGGATTGCAGTTTGGGCACTCGGTCTCTAAAAGGTTCGCCATCACTGGGTTAAGGCATCATGCTAGAAGCCAAGATACTGTGAGTTTGAGTTCCGCTTTAGGTACAAAGACTGACTTCTGTCACATTCAGCCCTATGAAGGACTCAACGGCAAGCCACTTCTGAAAAACCTTGCTGAGAAAACTGTAGGGACTTATCCAGACCGTCTCCAAAAATAAGACATAATTAAATGGAAGGGAAAAAAACGTTTTCCAGGATAAGGATTGTGTTTAGTCTTTGATTGACATATTGAGGATGAATTCTAATAAGAATGTGAATAGGATAAAAAAATTAAATTAGATTAAATAATATTAATATGATTGCTTGTTGGCTGTTCTTAAAACATTAAAACTTGATTAGAACTTAGAAGACCTCCAGAATTCAAAGGTAGTAATCTAGACTAGGCAGCTGAATGAATTGTGTATTGCTGTCAAAATAATTATGGATAGCTGTTATGAGCCTTTATTAAAAAAAATTACTTCCTATGTTTTTGAAATGTTCTTATGCTATATATCCAGATATCGTTTTAGCCAGTGCTTTTTTTCTAAAAAAACTCACACACGTCATACAACCTGCCTTGCCTACCCTACAAGGTTCCATCCAAAAAAGGTGCCGGAACTCCGTTCTGGGCGTTCTATGAGAAAAAAAGCCCTGGTTTTAGCTATTACTTTGAAAGACTTAGAGGGGTTTGTTGCACAGCTCTGATATAACTAACATGCCTTTCATTGTAACCAGTTCCTCTATGAGTCTTCCAGTTATATTTTATTTAGTATGCACAGCTCTGATATAACTAACATGCCTTTCATTGTAACCAGTTCCTCTATGAGTCTTCCAGTTATATTTTATTTAGTAAACCTCTTGAGTAGACTCGAGGATAGTATAACCTTTGATTATTCAGGCTTGAAAGAAGATGTTAACATTCCTGATTCTCAGTAGTATCGTCTTACCATTCTATTTTGCTTCCACTTGAGTTTTAGTGTTCAGTAGAAACAGATGATTAATAGGCATGCTGGAATAAAAGATGTTTTTGGTTTTAAACAATAATCCTGCAACCAGAGCTTCCCGGAGTTGAATTTCAGGAAAAGTCTATCGAAATATGATATGCCGGCAATAACTTTAAAAGGTTATATCTGCTAGGCAACACTTTCACCTTCCAATGACATCATGCCAATTTTTAACCAAATGTAATAAGGAGTAATGTAAACCTGAGAAGAATGAACATGTTAGTTTAGAATCTGGTTTATTCCCAGAATTTGCCTGGCAGTATTAAAACATATGAATATAATTTTATTTTAAAAATCAACATTGTTTATACTTTGATTGTAAAATGTCATGTCATAAAGCTGCAAACTGTGTGTTTTTGGCTAATGCAGCAGTCATATAAAAACATTTTCTTTCCTTCTTCCCTACTGTGCCCCCCCCATCCCATGTATACATCCCATGCATGAATTTGATCTCGAGGTGGTTCCAGGAAATGATGGGAAGAGTAGCAAATCCTGAAAACAATCCAATGGAAGAGGATCCATCTGACCCAAGTTTCCACTCTTTAGTGAAAGAAAATGGCTAATATCGTGAATTTGTAATATTGATTTTAAATTAAGAAAAAAAAATACTATTACAGATTTACATGTTACGCTTCCGTATAGATTGGAATATCACAGAAGTTAATCAACTACTTTGTAAGAAATTATTGTGCTTTTCTTATAATCCAGAAGCAAACAAAAGGTTTGTGTCAGCACAGTTGAGGGTTAAAAACAAAAACAAAAAACAGAAGAAAATAACACTACCCACCCTAAATGATAATTGCTGAAATGGAGAATGCAGGGGAGTGTGTGTGTGTGTGTGTGTGTGTGTGTGTGTGTAAGGATTGTGAACTAATATCAGTTTCAAAGCACCTTGGTCTTAGAAATCACAAGGCTTGATAGTTCCCATGATCTTAAAACCTGCCCAACTCGGTCACAGTGTTTATATGAAAGTTTTTATCTGATTTGCTGTCTTTCAGCTTTTGTTACTCTGTTGAATGGGGAGCAAGCTCAGAGTGCAATACGGCTATTTCACCAACGCTCCCTTCGAGGAAAAGAAATATCACTGCAGCTTCAGCCAACTGATGCCCTGCTCTGCATTACCAATTTGCCCCCTTTCTATACATTGCTAGAGTTTGAAGAGCTCGTGCGACCTTATGGGAATGTTGAGAGGCACTTCTTGGTGTACAGTGAAGTCACAGGCCATTCCAAGGGCTATGGTTTTGTGGAATACATGAAAAAGGATTCTGCAGCCAAGGCTAGGTTGGACCTTCTTGGGAAGCCGTTGGGTGGAAATGTCCTTTTTGCACAGTGGATGGATGCTAATCAGATAACTCCAGAACTCATACATTCAAAGTGCCTTTGTGTGGAAAATCTTCCTATAGACTATGCTGGTGATGATCTCTTGCAAAATTTCTCAACTAATTATAAACCTGTGTTCTACCAAGTAAGTAAAATGCTTTGTCTTCAAAGTAAAAGCTGTTTTCACAGATATTATGATTTAATGGCATGGCATGGACTTTCCTTGATTTTCAGACTAATACGGTCACATTAATGAGTAGTTATATATTTGTAGCTCTATGCAGTATTTATTAGATCTGACAATGATTGCCATCTACAAGTTCCCTGGGAATTACATAGATGAATATTTCAACTAATATGTTATTGACATAATAATAATTTATTTAAACATATATAAAATGGCTATTCAACAGAAACTTTAGGAACTTAAAAAAAATAAATTTAGGAACATCTAAAGTTCTGAGGGATGGAGTAGGAAAAAAAGCTTCTTCATTATATCAAAATATTACATTTGGAAAACTTGCATTTTTTTATTTTTAAAAAAATTTTAATATTTAATTTTTAAAATTTATTTTTGGCACTCGGTACCGCACAAAATTGTACAATGGTGCCGTCTGCCTAAAAAGTTATTATTGATCCCTTTCTTAAAATACAGTAACAGACTATGCATTTCCATTAAAAATGTGCTGGAAATCATAGCTGGAAGTTTTTCCATCCAAAGTGAGTGATGGATAATGCTAGATTAGAAAAAACAATCGTTTATGCCCATTTAGGGCAATTCCTACACATAGCCAGTTGTTTTTCCAATGTAGACATGTGATCTTTTCTCAGTTCTTACAATAGAATATTTTTTTATTGCAGCTAGTACTATTTGTTTTGTTAATAAATTATCTGGTTAGGGACAAACAATTTGAATTAGGGATATAGATATTATTCTGTTTATTGCAGTTCAATATTAAGGGTTAACAAGTGAAGTAACAAATCAAACTCCCATTTATAAACAGGTTGGATGTGACGTGGCTTTGATTTACCAGAAAAAGGAATGCTATTTATTATATAACCACTTGGAATACCACATACAGTTCCATTACCATGACTCAGAAACTATTCTTCAAAAACCTAGAAGGATGCAGAAGGGGGCTAAATGTTAAGCATAAGAAATTAAGACTAGGCTATGACGTGAAATTAAGTGCACTTTGGGGGGGAAAAAGGGATAAGGAGCTTATTCATACCATAGAATAAACAAGTGCCGTCCAAAGAAACTGAATGCTTCATTGAAACTTAGGAAACTCAGGATAAATTATGGAGACGTGCATCTTGATCAGGATACGTTTTTGAAACTGACATTTACAATTGCAAAGCATAGTGATGGAAATGTTCATGGAAGATAAGGTACCGGTAGTCGCTAGTTTTAATGTCTATATATTGCCTTCCAGAAATGGAGGCAATATACCTCTCAGTGCCAATTGTTGGGGAAAAGTGTAGAAAGATGTCCCTGCTCTCATGTTCTGCTTGTGTTCTTTCCGGAGACATCTACTTGGCAACTGTGGGAACAAAATATTGGACTAGATAGACTTTCATGTGATCCAGCTGTCTTTGCTCTTCTTCTGGCATGTTGCAAAGATGCTTATCGTAACTGTCCTTTCAGCTGCAGGCTATGTTATTTCACAGTTGTTATTTTTCTAAACATTATTCTGATTTTGTTTATACATAGTGTTTTGTTCTGTGGCAGAATGTTATTATCCGAGGCTATATTTTGCATTTGTTCCCAGTAATATTTTACTTGTGGGTCTATTTTGGAAGGATCCTAGTGGCTAGCATTGTTTTCTAGGAACTTTCATCCACGTTGACAAGGTTTGCACCGGTGGATTATACCTATTTATGTTTTTATATTGTTCTGGAGAGAGTTTATAGGACAGAATGAACAGCTGCTACTTGTTTATCAAAGGGGAAAAGTTCTCGGTTGGCATGAAACGAGTGCTGCTGAGCTCCATATTTCCTGTGGGGGTTGAGCGGATGAAGATTTTTTAAGACCTTTTGAAAGTGATGGATAAATAAATTGCTGTGACATCAGTTATGGACTGGCAATATCAATATAAATATTGACGCTTTTTGTCTTTTTTCTGGCTTTTTTTAATATTAAGGATCTTTTAATACTCTTGCTAAATACTGAAACAGGAGGAGGAGCACACTTTTGAACAATGTCTGCCTTTATTAGTTAATTACATTATAAACAATGTCGTTCATAACTTTCTTTGGAAACAGAATGGAATAGAAAAAAATCCAAAAATCCAAAAGAGGATTTCCATTTTCCATGAGGAAAAATTAAGTACAATACTCTATATGCATAATAATAATAATAATAATAATAATGATGATGATGATGATGATGATGATGATGATGATGATGATGATGATGATAAAGTTGGAAGGGACCTCGGAGGTCATCTAGTCCAACCCCCTGCTCAGGCAGGAAACCCTATACCATTTCGGACAAATGGCTGTCCAGTTTCTTCTTAAAAACTTCCAGTGTTGGAGCATTCACCGCTTCTGGAGGCCAGTTGTTCCACTGGTTAATTGTTCTAACTGTCAGGAAGTTTCTCCTTAGTTCTAGGTTGCTTCTCTCTTTGGTTAGTTTCCTTCCGTTGCTTCTTGTCCTGCCTCCAGGCGCTTTGGAGAATAGCCTGACTCCCTCTTCTTTGTGGCAGCCCCTGAGATATTGGAACACTGCTATCATGTCCCCCCTCGTCCTTCTCTTTGTTAAACTAGACATACCCAATTCCAGCAACCGTTCCGTTAAAAACATATTTATACATTTATGTATAAATGATGGCTCAGTGGTTAAAGATGCTGAGCTTGTCACCTGGTCAGTTTGAGATCCGAGAGCCGCACGACAGGGTGAGCTCCTGTTACTTGCCCCAGCTCCTGTCCACCTAGCAGTTTGAAAGCATGCAAACGCAAGTAGATAAATAGCTACCATTTCAGTGGAAAGGTAATAGCGTTCCATATGCCTTGCACATAGTCATGCTGGCCACATGACCACGGAAATGTCTTCAGTCAACCAGCTAAGAAATGAAGATGAGCATCCCTAGAATCAGACACGACTGGAAACCTTAAATGTTTACTTTAGGAAACAACCAATACAGCATGGAAAAGTATAGTCTGCTGTCCACATGCTGTCTGACAATAATAGTCAATTTCTCGAGCACCACATTCTTTTTTGTTGTGTTTTTTTATTATAAGTGAACCTCAAATAGCTTTTAGGTAGCCTTCTGTTGTTCTTTCTTAGATTGATCAGACTTTCTTCCACGAATATGGGGTTGTTCCAGAATTGAACTTCCAGAGTGAGCATATTTAACATGAAATAGGGAGGGAGAGGAAAGTGGGAGAACAAGAAATATGAGTATCCATTAGCTCTTGCGTTCTGTGTCTTCTCTCTGGTTCAAAAAGATACTAGTTTTCTTAATTATGTGTCTTATCAGCACATGCTGACTTTACTTGAGAGGGGGAGGGGCAGCAAGGGGAAGGAGTGCAGTTGTAGATTACCAAGAAGCTGGTCACATAACCCCACAGAATTTAACTTGTTTTTACTGTCTTGTTTCCACCAAAAAACTGCACCTGCTATATGTTTGCTTGTTCTCCTCTTTACACTTCTATGCATCTTCTGTAACCAATAGGCTTATATGATTCTGCTGCTTAACCTACAAGAATATCTATGGGATTGCTTGCTCCAGTAATATCTGCTAGTCTGTTAAGATCAGATAAAGTGCGGTCCCAAGGAATGATACCTCCAGGGACTCATAGAAACAAACTTTCTCAATTGATGCTCACCTTCTGTGGAAGAGGAGTCCGTCCAGACACTGAAATGGCCTTTTTTCTATTGATTTTCCTAGAGGCCATTAAAATGTGGTTATTGCATTAGACCTTGGAGATTTGAAAATTGTGAGCTTTCTGCTTCTGGCTGCAGAAGGTTTCCTTTTTGGCTGACTGAATTGATTAACTTGTATGTATGGAATGACAGGCTTTGTTTTAATGGTATTGTTTTAGCCTCACTAAGATAAATATGTAGTTCAAAGTCGTTTGTAATTGGAACAGTGTATAAGCCCAGAAAAAAATGAGAACATAAATATTAAGCCACTTGGTTATCTGCATTCATTTCAAAGTTCATAAAGCAGATGCACATGATGCTGATCTTAAAAAGATTGCAGTTTAACATGATCACCAAGTGATGCATCCACGCACCATATCCAGTGAAACATTTGTCTATATAGATTTATTGTTCTCTGGCAAGATAAATTATCTTTCCTACTGAATGCAAACATACTTGAGTATTTAGATTCTGGTAACTGTTGGGGAGATACTTCACCTGTAAAGGAAACAAACAAAACCTATACCTTGCACAAAAATGCATGTAGATATTAAAACTAATCAAGTAAAATGTAATTGTGTTTCATGCTTTTGAATAAGAAAGTGTGTCAATACAATTAAGTTTAAAAGTCAGTAGTATGTATTTCATAGTAAGAGTAAAATTTCAAGGAAATACATGCTCATCATTACAAAGTTGTTCCTAATTTAATTCTGTTTCTTAGTGCTGCCTAACCCCCCCCCCCCAAAAAAAAATTATTAGGACAGGTTATTCATGAAATGGGCAGTATCTATTGTTTTTATTTATAATTTAGTATATTTAGTATATTAGATTAAGTTTTTGATTAAGGAACGATCTGCACGTTACTTTATTTCATTCAAGACATACAGGTTATACAGTTGGAATAATGCAGTGGTTTTTGGAACAGCCGAAACAGAACAGACCTCTTTTCATTGTGTTGTGAAATGTCCTTTCAGCTTGCTCAGGATGAAGACAGCTCTGTTGGTGGCTTTGCAGTAATTGAGTATGAGACAGCAGAACAAACAGAGGAAGTGCAGCAAAGCACAGATGGTTTGACTATCAACGAAAAAAGAGTCCACGTGTCTTATTGTGCTCCTGGAGTTCCGGGCCTCAGCACTCTTGCTACACTTATAGCAGCACAACGAATGGTAAAAATGTTTGTACTGCAAAAGCAGACGCAGAACATTTATTACATTAATTATATATGAATATTACCACGTTTACGTGTAGCCCAAAGTTAATGGCTCCGTGATTCACGTTTTGTTTCCATGTGGATTTGTGACTTTTCTCTGTTTGATGGTCTCTAGGAGTGTAAAATTTTCTCTGTGTATGCACAACATTATTTTTCTTTTATCAGTTTCTTCTGAGACAGATCTGAGAGACAGATATGAATTGCTCTTGCAAACTGAGCGTAAGGCAAATCTGTTCCTATCTCTATCCTGACAACATTTGCCTTTCTGGTCTGGGTTTAGCTGCAGTTATCATTATACTTTGTCCGTATGGTTTTATTTATTTATTAATTTTTTATGCTACCCAGAATGACTTTGAATAGCGAGATGGGTGGCGTATAAATTTAATAAAAATAAATAAATATGAGATCCAATTTGGTGGAGTGATTAAGGCAGAGTAAAGCAAGAAAATTACTTCCTGCAATCTGGATTCTTTGCTCTTCTTAATGCTCTTAAAGATATATTGGATTTCCATGATCAACCGATCTGAGGAGATCAACTTAGTCTTGCAAGACTCCTGTTATTAAATACCAATGTTAAGCTCCCAGGTCCAGGTTCTGTTTCTTCCCCTTTCTGAAAATAAGGAGTCTTCTGGGATTTTGCCTTTCTCCAGGACTTTGCAAAGATTACAGAGAATGGTTCTGCAATTAGCCATGTCAGCCTTACTTCTCCCCCCCCAAAAAAAACCTCTTTGTGTAATGAAATGTTGAAAATTGAAAGCTTTCCATGATTCTATAAAGCCTTCATCTATCCTAAGATTTTTTTGCCACTGCTGATTTTGGATTTTCTCATTGCTATTTTGTGCTGTTTATGCACAAATGAATGGATAGATATTAATATCCTTCTTTTATTGTGAAACTCAGTTTCTTTTACATTTCTCCTTTATTCAAGATGAAAAACAATCGAAAAGGGTTACTTCCAGAACCAAATGCTGTGCAAATCATGAAAAGCTTAAATACTCCAGCCATGTTGCAGATGTTGTTACGGCATCAGATGCATGGATATGGTAAGTTTTGATATATATACTCTGAAATAATTTAGAATTCCCATTGTACATTAATTTCATAAAATAAACAGCTTTGGAGGGGAAGAAACCAGAGCAATCACACACATCTTTTCTCTTTTTCCATTTTTTAAAAATGTATATTTTTACTATTGATCTCAAATAACTTGATGTTTCAGAGTGCATTCCCACTGACTAAGTGTGGAAAATCTGAACTCATCTCAGATGATATTGAAAGATTTACAGGGGACTTCAGATGAAATATAGGCAGACTGGAACCCTGGTTTTTTTTGCCCTAAAGAAGGAGTGAACATCCTTTGTCTCATAGGCACCTTACTAAAGCTTCTTCCAAAAGCTGTGTGAAGTTCTGAGTGATTCCTATATTGGAATAAGAAACTATATGGAAATAATACACTTTTACAAAGTTTGAAAATTAAAAATGAAGTTATCATTTGGGCCTTAGAAATTAGCTATATAGGTACAGAAGATAAATTATCACATATGTTGCTGAAGCTATAAATATGAGCAAAGCTTGCAGAATTCACTTTTTTGTTACAGTTTCAAAAAAAGCTTTTTTGCTTCTTTGGGGAGGGAGAGCAGCAATAAATAGTACATAATTATATCCATCTCTCCAGTTTTTAATATGTGTATCCTTGAAAATTTGGGAATATAGGAAAACGTTACACGTTATCTTCCTGGCAAAAGCCAAACCTAAATTGTACCAAAGTTCCCTATAAAACCTTCTACATTATTTCAACATTATTGTGTCCATGAATTTTGCACTGCTGTAGAAACAGTGAGGATGGTTTGTAGCAGGGGTGTCAAACTGCTGGCCCGCGGGCCGGATGCGTCATCCGGAAGCCGCGCCCATTCGATTGCCGGCAATGGCAAAACAGTCTCGATACGTCTCGTGACGTCACGTGACGTTGCGAGTTTGACATGTCTGGTTTATAGTGTCTGCCAGTCTGCCATCTTAGACAAAAACAGATTCTGCTGAAGCTCAGTTATTTATTTGCCTGTCTGATTATACGGAATTATTGCAAAAGATAAGTCCTTTAAAATAATGTTTAGCTATTCATACATTATCTTAACATAGGTATTATAAGTAAATTAATGATAAATCTGGTTATATTTTTTTTCTAAAATAGTCCTAGGCGCTCCCATGAATGTGTCTCACCTTGCAAATCCATCAGTCGGTCCAGCCTTTTTACATTTGAATAAAATTCATCAGGTATGTTTATAGATAACATATATTGGTGAAGCAAATGTGTGATAAGAGTTAGAATTTTAGTGTATTATCATAATAATAGCAATAGGTGGTAATTAGATGCTCCGGTATCAGGTATGAAATGCTAAATTATTACAGTATTTATCTTGACTGTATTTATCTTGATTGAAACATCTGTTTTATGTATTCTGAATTTTAGTTTCTAGAATTTGCTCCCCAGAGAGCAAAGAGATAGAACATGATCTTGATTTCCTTATTAAACTAACAAATACAAGAAACACATGAGAAGCTGTTATAAACTAAACTGAATAATTGATTTATTTCTGTATTATATCTGTGCTCTTTCTAGGTTGAAGTAAAAAAAACACTCTATATAACAGAAATCATACTGCTAAGATTATTATTTCAGCACCTTACTTGCATTTGACATGCCTTATACCACAAATACCGTAACCCTTTAAAAAAAGTTTTTTTGCAGTAGAAAAGAAGGTTTTTGGTGTTAAAGAGATCTAAAAACATGAAGTTAGCTATTAGGTCATTGGCTATATTATGTTCATAGCACTCTTGTGATACCTTCAGAGAAAGATTTTATTTTTATACTTAAACACTGAGAAACGTGTTACTCAGATTGCCCATAATTGTCCAGATAAGTGCTTTGCCATAGTGTTACTTTGTTTGAAAGTATGTTTCAACTATGCATGGGACACCTGCTGCCCTTTCAGATGGTGTTGGAATCAAATTCCTTACCAATCCCAGACAACAGGCTCAGGTTTTTACACTCTCTATTTGACTCTTATTTTTTAAAAAAGAGTAGACAAAGAGGGGGAAAAATAAATATTTTGAAAATCAAAATAGTTGATCTAGATGATAAAATCTATTTTCTTAATCCTTATTAACAAAGATGTAGAATATTAAATAATTAGAGCTAGTTTGGTCTAGTGCAGGGGTAGGCAACCTTGGCTCTTTTATGACTCGTGGACTTCAACTCCCAGAATTCCTGAGCCAGTTGAAATCCATGAGTCATAAAAGAGCCAAGGTTGCCTACCCCTGGTCTAGTGATTAAGGTGCCAGGCTAGACTCTGGGAAAGTGTGCGTTCTAGTTCTGCCTTAGCCATGAAAGCAGCTGAGTGACTTTGGGCCAGTCACTCTCACTCTCAGCCCAACCCACCTCACAAGGTTGTTGTTGTTCTGGGGAAAATAGGAGAAAAAAAGTGTGTTGAATATGTTTGCTGCCTTGAGTTATTTGTAAAAAAATAATAAAGGTGGGATACAAATAAATAAAAATAAACAAATAGATAAGTAATCTTATTTTCAAGATTATATAGCAGTGATGGCGAACCTTTTAGAGACTGAGTGCCCAAACTGCAACCCCAAACCCACTTATGCATCGTCGAGTGCCGGGTGGGTGTGGCCCATTGGCTGGGTGTGGCCCATTGGCTGGGTGTGGCCCATTGGATGGGCGTGGCTGCGGTGGTAACGGCAGACTGGGTGGGACTAAAAAGTTCAATCAATCAATTCCAACTTTATGAGATTTTTTTTTTCCCACAAGAAGTTGAAATTGACTGATTGAACCTTTTTTTTTTTTTTTGCACACAGTGGCGGAGGCCTAAAGCGAAAAGGTTTTATAAAACCCAGCTGAAGACCTAGGACTGGGGCGATGGCGCGCATGCCCACAGAGAGGGCTCTGAGTGCCGCCTCTGGCACCCGTGCCATAGGTTCGCCACCACTGTTATATAGTGAGGTAGTACATAATGTACTTACCTAATAAGGTAGAGGATATCTTTCCTTAATCTCGAAGAGAGCTACCCATAGACTGCTACCCCAACGATTGTCTTGCTCAATTTTGGCAACAAAGTAGTTTTTTTCTAGCACCATATTTTGGGAATTAAAAACTTTTTTTAAAAAAGGTGAGGGGGGGAGAGAATGGGATTCAAAGGACTCTAGGAAATGAAATGCTTCCCAGGTAATCAAACTCTTCAAACCTCAAATCCATGGAAAAGAACACAAAGCTTTTTTCCTGCCTCTTCTGGTAATGTCAAAACATCAGAAAGCTACTAGGAGACACCTAGTTGGAAGTTGCCGTCTCTGACATATAAGAAGTTGTGCTGGTTTAAACTTATAAAACAGGGATTTCTCTGGTTATTTTAAATAATGGATTGCATCTTTTGTTTGTTCGATTGCATACATTTGGGAATAGAGAGCGTAGCTAACTTAAAAAGTAGTTCCCCTCAAATTATTATGCCCACATTGTTTCCTAGCAATACAGGTAGGCCTTGACTTACTACCACAGTTGAGCCCAAAATTTCCATTGTGAAGCAAGGCCGTTGTTAAACGAGTTGTGCCCCATCTTTTGACTTTTTTGCCACAGTTGTTATGCAAATCAGTGCAGGTGTTGAGTGAATTACGCAATTGTTAAACGAATCTGCTTTCCCCTATTGTCTTTGCTTGCTGGGAAGGTTGCAAACGGTGATCACATGACCCCAGGACAATACAGCTGTCATAAATACATGCAGGATCATGTGATCACGTGACCATGGGGATGCTGCAACAGTCATAAGTATGAAAAACAGCTGTAAGTCCCTTTTTTCGGTCCATTGTAACTTTGGTCACTAAATGAGTGGTTGTAAGTTGAGGACTACCTGTAAATCAAAAGTAGTTTGCATGACCACCTTCTGGTTTATTTTTCAAATGACCAGTCTAGCTTACAGACCCAGTATTTATTGGTAGTCTCACATCTAAATAAAAACCAGCACTAATCCTATTTAACTTTTTATCCTGGACAAGGTCAGTCGGTTTCTGCTGCTTGTTGAAAAACAACTAGTTTAAATTTTTAGTTATTTACATTTATATCCATCCTTTGAAATAGGAAGGCATTAATATTAATTAATTAATATTCATATTAATCAATATTAATTATAGTTATAATTATAATTATAATAATTAATATTAATATTACTTAATATATATATGATATTACTTCTTCATAATATTGGAAAATAGCCAAGATCAAATCCATAGTGAAAAACTAAAAAAAACTAAAAACCCATTGTTTCCATTAAGAGAAACATGTTTACATTTTTTATTAATCTTCACTTAGAGGTTACACATTTTAGCAATAGTAATAGCGCTTAGACTTATATACCACTTCACAGCCCTCTCTGAGCGGTTTACAGAGTCAGCATATTGCTCCCAACAATCTGGGTCCTCATTTTACCGACCTCGGAAGGATGGAAGGCTGAGTCAACCTTGAGCTGTGAGAACTGAACTGCTGGAAGTCAGCTGGCAGTCAGCAGAATTAGCCTGCAATAATGCATTTTAACCACTGTACCACCATGAGTCCTACCTTTTACCATCTTTTAGAAGAGTGAAATGTAAAATAGGGCATGTGTACTAGTTCTCAGTAGCAAAATTTAGTAGCTGTCCCAAAGCGATATGCAGTGTTGTCATTTCACAAATATGTGATACATCTTTAATGTTGAAAGGAATTCTGAATTTTGAAGACTGGATCATATAGTTGGTGAAAGATATATGAAATGAATTTATCTTTATCTCTTTTTCTTGTTTGGAATAATATTTGTTCCATATGTATATAACTCTTACATAATTCTATTCCTTTCACTCTTACAGGGTCCTGTTTTTGGAAATGCATCAAATTTGTTGCTACAAAATTTATCACATCTACATATGGCACCACTATCAAAGATTGAGAATATGCAACCTAACAGTGTGAGTTAAAATAGGCCTGTACTTATAATTTAGGCCAGACTCCTAGATAAAATGAAGAATGGAAATGTCTTCTAATTCATATTTTTGTTGCCAATATTAGTAGCAGCAGTAGTAGTATTTCCTTTTTCTTTGTCTTCTGTTATCAGCTAAGATGGTAAAACAGAATATGTGCATTGGAAATCTTTGGAACAATTTTCATCAAATACATTTTAAAAAGTAATCTATAATCTTTTTTCTTTGTAGAAACCAAGTTTACTTGGAGAACCGCCAACTATGTTGCTTCAAACAACGTTAGGAATGGGGCCTTTACCACAAGCGGCCACAGACATAGGGAGTCAAGGAGAACCATGCAAGTGACATTTTGTTTCCTTTATAATAATAGAAATTCACCTTGAAAATATAGTCCTCACTTACTGACAGCCTCATTTAGCAACCATTTGAAGTTACATTATAAAAAAATGCTCATATTTACAACTGTCACAGCACTGGATGGTCATGTGATAATTTTAGGGACACAATTTTAGGGACACAATTCAATATTAAATATCTTAATTTAATAGCCAGATATGTGAGTTAATTATTTTTGCCCAGTGGCAGAAATAGGGGCTCTAACTTTATACTTTACACATTTATTCATTTATTCAATTTCATTTATTCATCTCAAACCAGTGGGTGGCGAACAATCATAAAAACATTTTAAACTATTAAAACATAAATACAAAAAATAAAATTAAAATTACATTGTGTGCACTGCATTGACACCCTATATCAGTGATGGCGAACCTTTTAGAGACCGAATGCCCAAACTGCAACCCAAAACCCACTTATGTATCGTCGGGTGCCTGGTGGGCTTGGCCCATTGGGTGAGTGTGGCCCTTTGGGTGGGCGTGGCCAATTGTTGGACGTGGCTGCAGTAGTAACGGCAGACTGGGTGGGACTAAAAAGTTCAATCAATCAATTCCAACTTTGCAATATCTTTTTTTCCCCACGAGTTGAAATTGATTGATTGATTGAACCTTTTTTTTTGCACACAGCGGTGGAGGCCTAAAGCGGAAAGGTTTTATAAACCCAGCTGAAGGTCTAGGACTGGGGCGACGGCGCGCGTGCCCACAGAGAGGGCTCTGCGTGCCACCTGTGGCACAAGTGCCATAGGTTCGCCACCATGGCCCCATATTGTGCCCTCTTATTCATATTTATTTAAAAGTTGCAGTGTGTTTAGTAGACTTTCTCTCGATAGGTTGTGCCTTAGTGTTGCAACCTGCTACAGAAAATTTAGATTTAAAACCTTTTTATTTTATATTTTTATTTTCCCTCCAGAAATAACAGAAGTTTACTACTATTACGGTGTTCTTTAAAATATAATTATCATTAACAATATTTCAAGAAACAAATGGTATATGGATGTCAATTATTAATTAGTGATCAAATTAAATATTGTATATCTCAAAGAGACCAGCATTTCCCATTTTGGACATAGAAAAATAGGATGACTGCTGTCATCCAGAATTCCATTCTTAGGGCAAATCATAAGCAGAATTTTCTTCAAAAATTAGTGTATAAAATGTGAACAGTATGGGGTGCATATGTATTCTTCAATAGGCTTGCACAGTATTCAGTAAGTAAGTACAGTTCAATAATTTGTTGCAAATATCAACGTGAACCTTAGCGCTTTTCATGTAGTAAAAATCCAGTGGTCTGTTCTATAACAGTTTTTTCTATTTATGGCTGATTCTACAGTACCTCATCAGAGTACCGCTCCAATGGCGATGGCAGCAGGGATTGGTTTACTGCCATTCTTCCCAAACCAGCATGTAACTGGGCAAGGAGTGCCAAGGCAAAATAACACCCAAGAGAAGTTGCCATCTTCATTGGAACTGACAGAGGGCACCGGCTCCACATCTGAAACCTATCTACAGAGCTTAACAAATGTTGCTGCAGGAGGCCTACAGGGAGGACACCTCAGCCAGCAGAGCCAGCCAAAGAATGCTGACCCAAGCATTGGTGTAAGGAAATGGGATTCAGCTTTTTTTCTTTCTTTCGCTCTTGCACTTAACATTCATTAGTGTTGCAGCCAGCAAGAAGTTTTACAATTGTTTTATCAGCGTTTCAATCTTAATTGCAAAAAGCATTTTCAAACAGATTATTAATTCTAAATTACAGTGAAAGACTAATGGCTTTTATTAAAATGTAGAAACGTAATGAAAAGTGTTTCCTGTCATTTGCAATTAATTGCTCTATTTGCGTTAAATATCAGGAAGATGAAATTTGCCTATCACGCTAAGCCGTAAGGTGATTATGGTTTGCAAGCTATAAGTCTTAGATGCAATTGAAAAAAGTCAGTTAAAGTTTACTCAGTTTACCTTAGTGAAATAAAACATGACCTAGCATGATACCTAATGCCATCAAGTTTACTGCAGTTGTTCTGCAGCAGAGTTTCCTCTTAACCAAAATTTGAAACCTGAACAGTTTTACTTATGGCAGGATTGATTTAAGATTATCCTTATAAGCTTAGAGATTTCTTTGCATTTATCTTTAAGCTGATACAATCCCCAAGAACTTAGGGCTTGGAAATACATTTTAAATCATGGCTTATCATTTTTTAAATTATATACATAATTTGCATGTATGAGATTTGTAAGGCAACTGCTGAATAATATATCAATATTTCACTGACAAAATAGCAAACAGACCTGTGAAACTGTTCATTCTGGATAAATTTTCAAGAAACATTTTCTGAGGAAAAAAACTCACAGTTTTTATCAATTTTAGGGAATTTTCATTCAAAAATACAAACTTTTTAAAAATGTGGTTTTTCTTTTGTTTCATACTAATAGACTTTTATTCCTTTTTTCTTTCTCTCTCTTATATTCTCCACTATTATACACAAATATTTATTACATTCATCTAGACAGTTTTCTATGAACAGTGTAATAATATGCATTTTGAAATTGTTCCATTGAGCTGAGTGGATCCTACCTCCAAATTAATATTTTCAATTACAATTGTCCAGTTCCTAAGTACACTCTGCTCAACCTGATAGGAAGGGATCTATTCTTAATAGATAAGTAAGTGTGCAATCCCCTCTTCCTTCCGAAAACTAATTTTTTTCCTGTTCACATAATGTTTGATACTAATGTGGAATTAATTAACAGTTTGGGGCATGTTCTGAAACATGACAATCTACTGGCAAATATGAAATCTTTTAGGTTAGTACCAATAGGAACAGGTGCCTTGGGTACAATCCCCAAAACATCTGGAGCACCGCTTGAACAGCATCAACATTGATAGAATCACCATCAGTCAATTGCAAAAAGCAGCTTTACTTGGAACAGCTTATATCCTGCACAGATAACTTTAACGCCATCTAGCAACATCTCCCTATCCTGCAATGGACACAACAGGTGGATAAAAATGCCAATTCCAGTCTAAACATCTGACAGTGCGATGAACCATAGACTTATTCAATATCTGGAAATACTGAATTTGTCGGACCTGAACACCCTAATTTTACAAAAAAACAAAAACAAAACCTAACCTAACCCTGCTTGGAGCTGCCTATATTATTAGATGCTACCTTGATAATTCTTAGGCCTTGATTAAGACTTGAATTGTTAAGTTTTAACCAGTCTTATACTGTAAATCTAACTGTGAATTACCCACACATAATTTATTATTAAATTATTATTGGGAAGAACTTGATGCAAATAAAGAGTCACACCAATTAAAGGACTAGCAGCTGTGACTCCATGTTGTGAACAGATAATAATTGATTAAACTTGTATGCTGCCCAGATCTCAATGGCTCTGGGTGACAATCAGACAAAGAAATTTCAATCAAATCAATAAAACATAAAAAGGACAGATAAAAGATGGCATATACACACCCATACCTACATACATGCTGTAATAAAGCAGGAGGACTAGTCAAACATTGTTGCTTCTTTCAGTAAACACTCATTGTTTATAACATACATGCTGCTGCCAGTATCTTTTAAAAGGTCAGTTTTAGTTCAGCTGAACCTCAGTTCATCCAGAATAACTTGTTCAGACTTCCATGCCACGATGTGTTTGTTTTGTACACACCTCTATTTTACAGCATTTCATCATTTTTTTTCTGCAACAGCAGCATTTATTCTCTTATATCCATTTTTCCTATCTTCTTTTACTTCGCAAACTTTTTAATGCTTTCCATTATCATAACTTTGCACAATGTTTGTAATGTAAACTTTTTCATTCTGTTCCAGGCAGCTTCCATTTCCTCTTTACTATTCTGCTTTTTTAGGTGGCATAACATAATCTTAATGCCATAGCAAATTTGTGTTATCTCCCTCTTCCTGTACATAGAGATATTGCTTTGATATGGCTCAGAAAAGAGTATAGTTAATATACTTGCCTGTTTTCCTTTTAGTAGTTTGGCAGATAAAGATCTGTCTCCCAGCCTTTAGGTTAACTGGCTAATCTGGTTTTACCAGTCTGATTTAAGGTTACTTTAAGACAGTAAAGATGATTATTTAGTCATTCATTTTGCCTTTAAGAAGGAAAGGTTATATTCTGTATTGGCTCCTAGACTAGTTTCCTTCAGTTGAAAATATCCTGCCTCCTATTCAGTATAACAAAAAAGAATGCTACATTTTTGTTGTCTAAAAGAAAGAGACATGAGTTGATTGTTGCATACCAACAATTCAGCTTAGACAGAGTTTGCCCTTCTGGCTTCCAAGCTTTTAAAGCAATATCTCTATGTACAGGAAGAGAGAGATAACACAAATTTGATATGTCATGCCACATAAAAAAAGCAGAATAGAAGACTCAGGAAAAAAAATCACAAAAACCATACAGGCATTTATATTATATGTGAGAATAGCTAAAACAATGTCATGTACGTAAGCAAGAGCTTGAACATATAATGACTTTTTAGCACAGATAAGTTTTTGTGTGTGTGTGTGTGTGTCTAAAGTGGTAATTATTGTGTTATCCTTTAAAAAGAATGGATAAATTTATAGATAAATAAAAAAGAATTAAACATTGTAATGGTACTTCTAGTTAGTTACTTGAGAGGTTTTCTAATGGAAAATCACTTCGTACTTCAGCTGTAGTTATGTGATGAAATGTATCTGTTTTATAGAGTTGTTCCAAAAATCAAACCTCTCTACTTGGAGAACCTCCTAAGGAAATACACCTCAGCACAAATCCCTACTTGAACTTGGCAAGTGTTCTGCCTTCTATGTCTTTTTCAGGTAAGCAGGGAGGGGTCAAAGAGATTATAATACTTGCAGATAATACAATTATATTGTTTGGTATAATTTAAATCTGGAACTTGCCTTTAAGAAGAGTTTACAATAAAAAAATCCACTGTTGCTGCTGATTATCATACAATCCACTGCAGGATGGTCTCATTATTGAAGAGTATGGGCCATAATCTACTATACGTGTCCAGTGTTTGTTAGTAGATAATTTGTTTTACAATTCCCAGAATAGGGCTGAGAGAGTGTAGCTGAGATTAAGTCCTTTAAATTACAGTGGTACCTTGATACTCATTGTTAATTGGTTCCAGGAGGTGCAACGAGTACTAAAAATGACGAGTGCCAAACAAATCACCTGATTTACCACATGACCTTTTGTTTCAGCTGGGAAAGACTTCCTGTTTGTCCCTATTCCTATGTCAGCAACCTTCCCAGTATGGCTGACTTCCTGTCCTCCCTCTCTTGCACTGTCACCCTCTTTTGCAGTGACCTTTTCAGCATGGCTGACTTCCTGTCTGTTCTCTACGGCTATCCCCCTTTTTTAATCGTTCCAAACAAACAAGGACAACATTTTTTGCTTCAAAATGCATCGAATACCAAATTTGACGAGTTTTGAAGCAGTCAAGTACTGAGATATCACTGTATGCTTCTTAGTGCCTTATTTTATTTTGTTTTAAAAAGAATAGCTCTATGCCTTTGTTCTGTTACGAATTTATTTAATATTGTACTGTGTACCTATAAGGGCCTTTGGGGGAAGCAAATGTGTTTAAAACTACTTATACCTTGTTATAATTAGTAATAAATTATAATTTCTTCCTTTAGGAGCAGTCCCCAACAAAGCTAATAATACTAAGTCACAATCTGTAGTTGCAAGTAACTCAGTCAACAGTGTAAATGCTCAGGGAAACACACCACAGCATGCACTGGAAAACTCTTTTAACTACTCACGACAATACAGTGATTATACACAGGTATGTGAAAGATATATAATGTCACTGCAGCTGATGACAATATATTCTTGTGAAAGCATTAGTTCTCCAGACTGATGATAATTGAGAAACATCAATCAGCAAGATTTGCAGAAAAAGTCATATTTCCAGTGCTAAGAACTGGAATACAAGTAAATAGTGAGTGATATTGTTGTCCTGGAAAAAAAACATACTGTAACCATATGGTACTAATATTCAAAAGAGTTCTGATAGTGAATTCATGAGAATAAGAAATTAAATAATCTGCAAATTAGAGATCATACTTGGTATAGTGCGCCTGTTTCTTTTGGCTGTCAAGAGCTGTTAGCTGTTAATTTAATAGCACCTCTCTGTAGGTTGTGTAGAAGAAGAAACAAAGTGTGCAGGTAACTTATACAAATTTGGAATCCCGTTTCCAACAGCTATAAGAAACGATTGTATGATTTAGAAGCATAGCGAGGCAGATGGTCTTCAAATGGTATGTCGCAACTATTAGCACCCTTGGAATCAGCTCCAGAGCTATAACCATCATTGCTTCCACGAGAATTTTCTGTCACTGATGTGTAATATATCTGTGGCATGCATAAAAACCATGAACAGCCTTGGTAAAAGGAGCTGATTTGGCTGGATGATATTTGAAATTATCTTCTTCTAATCCCAAGAAAAACCCAAGGAAGGCTCATTCTTATTTAATCTAGGCCAATGATTCCAGATTCTGGATATTTTAAATTTGTTGGGATGCCTTCTCCTTTGACCTATGACTGTAGTGGCGAACCTATGGCACGCATGCCACAGGTGGCACGCAGAGCCCTCTCTGTGGGCACACACGCCGTCACCCCAGTCCCAGGCCTTCAGCTGGGTTTTATAAAACCTTTTTGCTTTAGGCCTCCGCAAAAAAAAAAAAAAGGTTCAATCAATCAATCAATTTCAACCTCTCGCAGAAAAAAGAAAGATCTCGCAACGTTGGAATTGATTGATTGCAGCCACGCCCACCCAATGGGCCACACCCACCCAATGGGCCACACCCACCCGGCACCCGACGATACATAAGTGGGTTTTGGGTTGCAGTTTGGGCACTCGGTCTCTAAAAGGTTCGCCATCACTGACCTATGAAATATCCAATATTCCCAAACTACTTCTCAAACACACAACAAGTATTTGTATTATGTGGCATTATTATAAAAAAAAGCACAAATTGCTGATTATATAAAGCAACTCATAACATGCTGCTTAGGGAAATCTTGGTATAATTAACCAAATAGAGCCTTGTATTAAAGGCCAATTTTAATACAGGATTTTTTAAAAAAGGCATAACATTAACCATAAAAACAGATCAAGCAAACTCTTCCTTAGTGGAAGAGTTGTTTGTTTTTTCCGTTCAATACGGTCTGGTTCTCGGAGACCTCCTGGACAAATCCCTGAAGTTTTCTTGGCAAGATTTTTCAGAAATGGATTGCCATTGTCTCCTTCCTAGGGTTGAGAGATAGAGATTGGCCCAAATACACCAAGGCAGGACTAGAAAGCATGGTCCCCCAATTTCTAATCTTAACCACTATCCAGGGGTAGGCAACCTCGGCTCTTTTATGACTCATTGACTTCAACTCCCAGAATTCCTGAGTCAGCTATGCTGACTCAGGAATTCTGGGAGTTGAAGTCCATGAGTCATAAAAGAGCCGAGGTTGCCTACCCCTGCACTATACTGTACTGTAAGTTGAAGCTAGTACTCTCTAGTTAGCAAAGCCCCTAGAGAATGGCCTGCATACCGCTACTTATAAAAATAACCTGGCAGTCTTGAAAGTTATATTGGAAGTTTGATATCATTTGGCAAAAAAGAATTTGTGGCTACCATTTTGATTATGTATTGATTTATATGAAATGTAATCTAAATATTGCTTTTTTGCTTTAAATGAGACAAGACTGAATTGGGGTAACTGGTTTGCAAAAACGTGTACTCTTTTGGTGTCATACAATTGGCAAAATAATAATTATGGAAAAAAAAAATGCTTTTGCCTTTTGTAGGATTCAGTCCAGCAGTGGTATCAGCAGTATGCTCAGGCGTACCATAGCATTCAAACTAAAGCAGGAGATTTAGAAAACAGTGGCTCAGATGTAAGTTTGTTTCATTTGTTTATTCGCTCGGTTTATATCCTGCTTTTCAATTATAGTATCTTTCTTTTAAAAATTAGGTACGGTTTTGTTATTTTCATTTTCTGATTTTATATATGCTCAAAGAAGCAGCCCATTGTTATTTTTTTTCTTCCTATTACAATCAAATTCACCTGGACCAAATATTCTGTAGGAATGGACACCCATAGAAGTCAAGCAGATCCGTGTCCCATGCTTCATTTCCAACCTGCTTCTCTTTGGGTAACAAGAAATTGTTCAGAATTGGCTTCGGAATTTGGTGGGGAGGCAGGAGTAAAAAGTGCTGATGCATTGTTCTGCAAACTTTATAATTTTGGCTGTAGTCTAGAAAGAAATTTAATTCAGAGGAGTTTTTCCCCAGAGTATGAGGTGGGAAGCAAGGCTGTGTACTATTATAATTTATGCATAAATAACACTTCAAGTTGCAAACCTGTGTTTTCATTTTCTTGTATATGTGCTCTGTTGGGTCTTTTTGGCAATCCTTTTTCATGCTTCACTGAATTTTTCACATGATTTATCAGAAAATAGCCTTACATTACATTGTCCATTTAGCTCTATATTGTCTACAGTAACTACTCTTTAGAGTTTGACTGGAGCCTTCCCAAACACTACCCAAAGAATCAAGGAATTAAATCTCTGTTTTGTCCTAGGAAAGCAGCAGCTCTGCTCTGGGCAACATTTCCCATCTTCTTGTAAGGGATTGTGTAGAACAGAGGTCCCCAACCCCCGGGTCCGTGGATTGGTACCGGGCCGTGGCATGCCAACAACCGATCCGCACAAACAAGCAAAGCCCCATCCATGGGATGCAGGCAGCACACAAAACCACTCCGGTCCGTGGAAAAACCTTTCTCCATGGAACCAGTCCCTGGTGCCCAAAAGGTTGGGGACCTCTGGTGTAGAGAGTAGCAGTAGAATCTCCGGAGAATGTCTTTTACTATAGGGATAGGATGACTTGTCCAGAGTTTGAGTTTATTCTACTTTCACCATGTGGATCAGGGATCAGATATCAGGCAAAATTGGCTTATCTGCCAATTTTGCATAACTTGCAGCTTCTAGAAACTCAGAGCTAATCTCTTACAGAGTGAATTGACATTCCAAAGTCAGGGTATAATTAAGAATGAATAGATTTCTAGTGAAACTTGTTGCGACAGATTCCTGGAAAAGCTTTGCTTTTGGAGATTACATCCAGTATATTTCTGTCACCTAGACTTTATTTTTATATTGTGCTTTTCCTAGCTATATACCACTAAAACTCTCATGTTTGATACTTTATACCCCTTCATTTGGGTGAAACAGTGCATGCTTGAGAAACAAACATTTTTTTAATCAAAGTACCTCAGGCTAACTTGCAGAATGCATCCAAAAGCCTGGATGCTTGACCCCCCCTGGGACTGAAATTTGGCAAGGTTGCAGCCGCTTTCTGATTACACTTCCCAGAAACCCATAGGTTCCATGGCGCAAAGGAAGATGGGAAAAATTTATATCTGCTCACATTCCTGCCTTCCTCTGGCCCTTGCACCCAATCAGCTGGCAGCAAGACTGCTTTGGAACTGAAGTTTGAAATCTCTGAATGGCTAGTGAGGAAGAACAAGGGAATGATTCGGATTCCTACAGGCAAAATAAGAGATGCTGGTGGTTGACAGATGAGTCCTATTCTTCCGTGGAATGAAGTTGCCTTTTGGGGACAGAGTAGAGTGAAAGGGTGCAGTTTTCCATATGGTCCACAGCTGCCTTTTCCCACCTCTCTCCAGCAAAATGTAGGCAGTTCCATGGTTAGTAGTAGTAGTAGTAGTAGTAGTAGTAGTAGTAGTAGTACTCTCCTGAGGGGAGGGGAAATGACACAAATCTATATTATATGTGGAAAGAGAAAGGATGAGGGAGTGACTGAGATGGCTGCTGGTGCGGTAGGGCTGGCTGGATTGTGCTGGCAAAAGGTGAACCCTGTTCCTCCCTGGAGAGAGAAGGAATGTGGAGCAGGGGTGCAGGTTTCCTTGGAGTTCACAGCTCCCTTTGTTACCCCTTCCCCAGCAAAGTAGCAGACAGTTCCATAGGTCAGCTAAGGAAGCGGAGGAGCCTTCACCAGGACTATCCCTTCCTGTCATGAGGGGAGAGGAAATGGCAGATGCCTACAGTATATATGGAAAGAAGAAGGCCAACAAAGACAAAGATGATACGTTGTCTAGTGGGAATTTAAGGCAGTGCCTACTATATGTAGCTACTTTATCTTTACAACAGTGCTATTACACATTAGGCTGTAGCGATGTAGCAAGTTAACTAGTGAACTTTAGAAGCAAGAGAAACTCAAGACTAAAACTCCTCTACTCCATTCTCTAAGTATTATGCTAGAGATATACCAATCTTTCTGAAAAATTTGTTATTAATTTCTTGCAATTTGATTTCTTAATTGGTTATCAGCTTTTTAACCCACATTTTTCTTTTTCTGTTTTGTTCTGTAGGAACCCACTGGAGGAGTTTATGGTGATTATGGTACCTATTTACAGGTTATGCCTTCATATTATGCTGCAGCCCAAGGATTCTTTCATCCAAGCGCCTTGCCATTTACACCCCAAAATCCCCTGAAGGTAAGAAATATTTCTGATGGAGCATAAAAGTACAGAATGCATTAAACACGAGCAACATTTAGATCAGTGGTTCTCAACCTGTGGGTTGGGACCCCATTTGGGGTCGATCTACCATTTCACGGGGGTCGCCAAGCAAGGCTGTCCGCCATTTTTTTCCCCCTTTTCCGGTGGGTGCCTTACCTCCCTTGGGCTGGGCCAGCTGGTGGTCGGCCTGCTCCGTATCTGCCGCTTGCCAGCTACGCCTCGGCCGGCGCAGGGGGCGAAACCACGCATGCACGGCACTCCCAGGCAGGGAAAGTCCTTGACTTATGACCGGTTGGGTAGTCCTCAACTTGTGACCAGTTGGGGTCGCAGCATTAAAAAGGTTGAGAACCACTGATTTAGATAGTTACAATCCAGAGTTTCCAAAGTCCTATAACATGTTGAGATGCATTGAAGGATAAGTAGGGCAGAGTTTAATCTGCTATAATTTGTTTTTTTTCCTCTTTACTACAATATATAAGATCCTACGTTTTGAACAGTTATGTATCCTCAGTTGAGATCTTGTGTTATCATTAAGTGTTCTGAGATAGTGCTAATTTATTAGAGTTGCTGTGAATGCTATTTGTCTTTGTTATTTTAATAATGGAACTTTTTCAGAGTAACCATGAAATTGGAATCAACTTAGGTCTCCTGTAGTCAGGGTTTCACCTGCCTCATGTAGTCCTGCTCTAAAAAAATTAGCAGCTTCTTTAAAGCCAATATCCTAGAAGGGGCAGCATTGGAAACTGCAGATAGATTTCTTTTCCACCTGCAAGAATACTTTTATACAACTCCATCCAGGAATACATAACCCAGGGAAATAAAATTCTGAAACCATTTATATCTGTTAAGATCATTTTCTTGTGTGGACCATGGTTAGAGTTTATCAAACATCAAATTCAGCATTCTCTAGGTCAGAGCTTTTCAACCTTTTCACCCATTGTGCCACTTTTACGCTATGGCAGCATCCGAGTACCACCTAGTAAGGTGTCAAAAACCTGATGACCAAAAAAAAAAAAAAGGAAAAAAGTGATAAAGTACAGGTAGTCTTCAACTTACAACAGTTCGCTTAGTGACTGTTCAAAGTTACAATGGCACTGAAAAAAGTGCCCCAAGCCACAGCCGAGCAAGACACCTGCCTGCCCGCCCGGCCGCGCTCTTCCTCCTGTCCGAGGTTTTCATTGTTGTAAGCATTTCTGTTGAGGATTGACAGTGGGGGTGGGGTGGGGGATGTTTGATTTTTATTCCCCCCTCCTCTGCTGCGTGGTTGCAGCAGATTTTGGTCACTTCACATGACCCTGGGACACTGTGACCGTCATAAATATGAATCAGTTGCCGGTTCAGCTCATTCCCCTCCCCTGCTACCAATTTTCTAGGATGGTCGCGTACCACCTACCAGGTGCCAATGTACCACAGGTGGTACCCGTACCACTGGTTGAAAAGCCCTGCTCTAGGTTTGACTTTACTATGATTGACACATTACTATGCACATTACTATGACTGACTTTTTATAATCCTTAGATGACTCCAGTAAAAAATGAAAAGCGGAGCTCTTCATACCTCATCACAAATCCAGAAGACAATCCAGTGGAGTATGTTGGCCCACACCCTCAGGGCTCTGGAGTGCATTATACAAAATTGTACCTTAAAAGAAAACGTGTCTATTAAGATTTCTATCTAATTGAAATCAAAATCACTTCTTGTGGCATTCTTGCCACTGTTATCCTTTAATGTATATTGTAGATAACATGTGCAATAGTATTGCAGAAATTAGTTTTGATAAGGAAAATGGTATGGGGAAGAGGCTCTTGTCTTCCAGATTTAATTTTGTTGTTGTTGTTTGGGTTTAAATACGTTTAATATGTGTTTTAAAAGGACAGCAATGTTATGGTGTGAGAGCTACTCTCAAGGCAATGAAATAATAGAACTTTCCTACAGTCTTGCTGAGAAACTGCATTGATACCCTTAAAAAGCAATAATGCTGGTCAGTGATGTTACAAGAAATCTCTTTGATGACTTAAGGTCCTTGGTTGAAGAGGATTCATGTTTCATTCTGTTGTCTGTTTCACAATAATAATGATACACTATTATTGAGATGATTGAGTTTAGATTTATAACTTTCAAATGTAAATAATATCAAGACAACTCTCCTAGCAGTAAGTTAAAAAAAAAAGTCAAGATACACATGTACTGAAAATAATATTGTTGAAATATAAAGTATGTATGACAAAGTTTCTGTGGAAATGAAGGACTGATATTAGATTTACATCTGTAGATGTTGGCCTTTAGAGTTATACATACGAAATCTAGACAATATTTAAACACATGTTCAAATTTAGCGTGTATGAATATTTAATATCCAGTTGGAGCTGAATTTATATTAGTCACTTGCATTTAATTAAATGAATATGCGTTCCAGATTGTTCTTGCAGACACCTGATTTATCTCACTTCCAACTTGGAAACTCTTTGTTGTCACACTTTTTTGACCATTTGTGGGGACGCTCCCCAGAAGTAATACTTTGTACATACATGAAATGCTTCTGTTGATATGCTTTCTAACTGGTTTACTTTTCTTGTGAGTAAAAATGTATTTGAAACAGGCTTCTTTACTACTGTGTGCTCACAGTATTGAGAACTGTAATATGGCTTTACCCATAAAAAATTAAGTGTATTTAAATTTGATTGAAATGTTTATTGGAGTTGTGCCACTGAGTTCAATGGCAGCTTTATTGCAGCAAGCAGCTGTTCTGTAGAATTAGACCTAAGTGTCATATTTTAACACTAAGTAATGGGTTTTGGTTGTATGCTCCTGGAAGAAGGCAGACACTTTTGGCAGCATGTATAGTGCAACCTTAATTGGACCCACTATATTTATGTATTGGTCTCATTACATTTCCATTACCTTTTGACTAATCAAACTCTTCAAAAACGGGCAAGTTAATGTTCTTACAAGCCTATATAATTTAGTCCACCTCGCTCATATAGGACGAGGTTAAATCAGCTGAAGAATGTACACATTGGGCAACCAGTCAACTTTTTTTAACCTGCAATAATGTTACAGAAATTTAGGAAATAAGCAATTATGATAAGATTGTATTTTCTGATTATATCTTTATCAAGTGACAGTCCTATAGCTGGTTTACAAAGTGAACCTCCTCAATGTATGCCTATAGTAAGGAATGGGAGGAGTGCAAAAGTTCAATGACTTCGTCCACAACTTTAATATTATAGTTCTGTGAATATATCACAGCAGCATGAATAATTACTTTGTCTGTGCCCTCAGATTGCAACTTTTAGACATATGCTAGACTTGAATAGAAAAAAACCCAGTAGAAATGCAAAAAAAACCCCAATTAATTAGTGTCTCCTCCATTTGCCCATACAAGCTCAAACAATACGCCCTTCCTTAATTTAATTGTGGGAAGCTTTATAAAAGGCTTCTTTGTATACATACAGGGAGGTGAAGTTCTGCACAGAAGTCCTGTACTTTGTAAGATAAAGAAGTCCCTGCAGATTTTACTCTGCTAGTCATTTCTGACTCTAGGAGGCAGTGTTCATCTCCATTTCAAGGGCCATTGAGCCGGTACTGTCCAAAGACATTTCCGAGGTCATGTGGACAATATGGCATCATGGTGCACGGTTACCTTCCCACTGAAGTGGTACCTATTTATCTAGTTACATCTGCATGCTTTCGAACTGCTAGGTTGCCAGAGATAGTGCAAGGATGGGAGGCAACCCAGTCATGCGACGCTCAGGTATCGAACCCGGGCTCTTGGTTTTCCAGCCGATAAGCCCAGTCTTAATTGCTGAGCTATCGTGCCAGTAGAACTAGACTGAATTTCCAGCAGGTATCCAATAGTAGACCAAATATTTAACATCCAACAGTTCTTTATGAAATAGTGCACCCTTGCCCCAGTGGCTTCTAAGAAACACTTTTTAAGAAAAAATCCTATGCTTTGTTTGGCCATAATTAACCAACTGTAGGCATTCAAGTTGGTATGCACAGTCATAATCTTTTTTAGTGTGTTCTTTCTGAGGTTGTTACACAGCCCAATGAGTCATTATTTGGGGGCCCCTATAATGAGCAGCTATCAGGGAAATGGACATGAAGATGACAAACACAAAAATGGCTAAGATGAATCAATCATTTCAAAGCACGCCAAGTACAGGTTTGAGCACAAAGTCTTTATTTAGAACATTTTTAAAAAATGGATGAACATTCCTGGATAAAATCAAGAAGTTTTTTTTAATAAAGAATAACAAAGTGCATATAGAATATTTATAGATTACATAAAAGAACAGGCAATTTGAAAGATGGGTTAGGATTAAAATTACATTTTACATTATTACAAATCTTACAGAATTACTCTGTAAATGCAACGTTTTATTTTAGGAAAGAATAGCTTCCTTTTAAAGAAGAATGCCCTATTTTTCTTTTAACCTAAAAAATACTTGTGAATTGACGGTGAAAAGGACAATCTGGTAAATCCAGTATCATGACTCCTTTTCATGTATATGCATATTGCCATTTTCCTTCAATTCAAAATATAGAAGGGATCAGGTTTAGTTAGAGTCAACGGATTGGGTTAAGTCTACTTAGAATTGACCAATGAAATTAAAAGCCTTTCTGTAATAGAACTGTAAAGTTCTATTTCCTTTATAAACTGCGGGTAAAATACATACATTATTGGTGAACAATGTATTGTATTATATTTTGTCTGTGGCAACATCCTTGTGCAGAAGGGGCATTGCAATTCAGAATTGAAGATACACACAAGTCACTCCTCTGGCTAGCTGCTTAGTTTGTTGATTTGTCTCATGACGTTTATTAAAAAATATTATCAGGCATGCGGTGTGTCACTTCAATATTGACATAATGCTTTTCCATTTATCTATTTGCCTCACATATAAAAGGTGGGTATATAAAAATCCTGCATTCTGCATAAGACCTACTGTATAAAAAAAAATAAAAATCAAAGTTGCATGAGTGTTTCATTTGGAAATTTCCCCTGATAGTAAAAGGAGCAATCATTGCCATTTGGCGATGGCCCAAATATCTTAATCTAACATTCTTCCCCCATCCAAAAATGACAAATTTAAACAGACCATTCTCATAGTTTTCCATTTAAAGGGAAGTAAATAAATGAAAACATCAAACAATGTCTTCGGGATGAATTACTAGCGGAGGTCTTGGCTCTATACACGTGATCAGGCTGGGTGGCACCAAGCATACAGGAAACAAGTTTACAAATACACAATATACAAAAAGAAATAGGCTGGGACATAACTAGTGAATTCCCAACAGTATGCTTTACAGTAATTTCTTCCAATTTCTTCCTATGAATAGTAAGTATCCATAATATGATATAAATTTTTCCACTTTTAAGTTGACTTCAAAAGTATCCTACTCAGTTAGGTGGATAACTGAATATGAAGATTACAGATCCATATATGTCTTCTCGGTGGATAGGAATATTTGTATGGCTCTTCTGGCAAAAACAGTATTAGCATTTTTGCATAATATACATTTTCATGAAGAAGTAATGTAACATGCAGCATACTTTAAGGCCATTATTCTGACAAAACTTCTGCTTTCTTTTAAAAATTCTGATAGCATTCATATGTTGCACAGACCAATCCTATTTTCACCAGTTAGAACCTAAAATGAACGGAATAGAACAGTTCTGGCCATCCCACAGATGTCAACTGCCAAGCACTGAATGCTTTTGCTGCTTGGGCTGACTGAGTAGCAAACTCTTTATTTCCAAGCAAAAAGGAATAGGGCATTACTGAATTGCAAAATTACAAAACGTAGCAACAGGCCGTCTTTTTAAAAATATTTAACAGTAACAGTATAAAAATGTGAGATTATAACTTCGTAATGAGTGTTTCAAAGCCTTGGATCAGATTGTGAAAAGTTGTCCTCTCACCAGGATCGTGTACCCAACACTTTCTCATCAGCTGGTTAACCTAGAAAATAAAAGGCACAAAGGTTCTCACCACGACATTTGCTTTCTGAGGCTGTGACAGCATACAAGGCACATTTTCCCCCCCTCCCTTATGGGAGTTTGTTTCTATAACTATCTTTTAAGGGAACCCATTTAAGAAAGAGACTCTAATTATGCTTAAGTGTTCTGTAATTTGTAAGGCTATTAAAATATGCTAAAATTGATTATCATACAGTATTATTACATGCTTCATTTCATTGGTCCGTGCTTGATAAAAAAAAAGAAAATGAGACCACCTGGCATAGAACAGATATATGTCTGGTATACCTTGGCAGGCAAATAGCCCATTTGTAGCAGGGAGTTAAGAAAAGAAATTAAAATATAAAGTCTAGACACAGAATAATTATGCCTTTGTGAAAATGCAAACTTCCTTACTAGCTAAGAGAGAATTAATTTTTGAGGCTATGTAAATGTAAAAAATTATGGCAGCTAAGAAACTATCTAAGGAAATGCAATTCTGGGATATTGTCTTTAGTAGCTCAGATGGAGTCTTTTGCAGGTCCTACAGGACCGCATGCAGCTTGTCAGCTAATTCTATGTGCAGTTGGTGACAAAAATGCTGAATCTTTTAAAATCTTTTAAGACTGTAGATAAAACTTTATCATGTATTAAGCATGAGGATGGGGTGTGGAACCCCGAGAGGTGGCATGCAGCAGCTACAGACAAAAAATTAGCTAAATTGGCCAATCTGAGAACTTTTTTACAGGGGTGTTTTAACAAATTTTTAGGGGGATCCAGGGTGGGTGGGAGGGGGGGGGAGGTTCCCCTTAGGTCAGGACCCGCCATGTCTGGGGG